ATTTATGTCAGGTGAAAATCTTTACCTTTACCACTTGCTTTGGACACTGTTTTCCTCTTTGGTGATGCAAACTTGAGCAGAAGTTGTGTGCAAGTGGGTTGCTAAGAGTTTTCTGGGTTATATGGCCATGTCCCATAAGCATTTCCTGACATTTTGCCTGCAGGCGAAACGTCAGGAAAGAATGCCTCTGGAACATGGCCAGAGAGTCAAGAAAACTCACAGCAACCTAGTGATACCAGCCACGAAAGCTTTCAACAACACTGTTGTATGCAAGTTAATGATTTTACCCTTTCTATTTCTAAATAAACAAATAGAATTTTGTATTTAATGTACAATTAGGGACGTTTATATCTTTACATATTGGAACTAGACTACAGCTTCTCTGAATGGGATTGATATTCAGGAAACCCTGGAAGAAAGGAGAAGGGTTCTCATGGATTTCCCCTCCTGATCCCATTCCTACCCACCACATCTCAAATGGCTCTGAATGATCCTACAAAATTCTGAAGCAGCTTCTAGAGCAGGTTCTCAACCTGCAGATCCCCAAGTGTTTTGTCCTACAGCTCCTTAAATCCCAGCCAGTTTACCAGCTGTTAGGATTTCTGGGAATTGAAGGCCAAAACATCTGGGGCCCCACAGGTTGAGAACCACTGTGATGATGCAGAAAAAATGAGAAATCTATGAAATTGCCTCGCAACTCCCTTCCTCCAGCAGCAGGAGGATCCTATGAATAGAACTCTTATTACAGCAATTCTGGGCCCAAGCATTGTCTTCTGTGTGGGAAAGGTGGTTCATAAATGAAATTTTGCCTCCTGTTTCAATTGACCTGCATGAATAATGTGGGGTTTTTTATGAAAGGAAATAGATCCTTCTGATTGCTATTTCACAGGAAGTTGCATGGCTACAAAATCTACTTTATCTAATGTTCAACCAGGGAGTTCCCTGGTGGTTTCTAAGAAGTGGTGGGTGATGGGTTGCTATTGCCTCTTTCCGACTGAATTGGCTAATTCGTCATCATTTCCTCCCCAAGGAATTCCCACTAAAAAGATAAAAGCCATAGTCCAAGGCTAACTAAAGGCCTTGCATGGTTCCAGGCTACACAGAACAGTCACTGCAACTTCACTGGTATGCAGCTGAACATCAATTTCTGTGATTAGGATGACAATCAGGTGACCAAAACCTGTTCAATTGCCTCATTTCTCAGGTTGGAACACTTTTAAAGAAAATGTGTGGAAAGGTAACTTACAAGCCACTTCTCTAATGTTTTCCTGCTAGTATTTGCAAATGGGCTTTGAGTAACTAAGCGTGTCCTCCCTTTTCTTTGGTTGCACTTTGTGACTAATGCAAGATGTCAGTACAAATGTGGGAGTGAACACAATAACCTACTACCCTAGAGAAAAGGATCACATCATCTCTAGTGGCTGATTGTCAGACTCCTGGAGGCTTGAACTTCTCAATGCAGTTGGTGAACTGGAACCAACCACCTGTTGGAAACGGAGAATGATGCTTTTCTCTGCCAATTAATTAACAGCTGGCTTTAGCCATATGTATTTTTAATTGACCCTATTTTTTAATCAACCCTCTTTTGGATATGTCTTTGGTTTTATTTCTACTCATCTTGATCCAGCATTTAAATATAACTAGCCCTTCACATTTTGTGAATTTAGTTTTCATGACATGATTATTTGTGAACTTTTTATCCATAATACTTTAACTGTATTTATATGTTTTTATCTGTTTTTATGGCTGAATGTCTTGTATTTATATATTTGTATATAATAAATATTAATGGAAATTTGCCAACTGTAAGCTGCTCTGAGTCCAGTCTGGAGTGAGAGAGAACAGATAGAAAAATTGTGTGTGTATAGATAGATAGATAGATAGATAGATAGATAGATAGATAGATAGATAGACAGACAGACAGACAGACAGATAATATGACACTGCCCAATGTCATCTCAGTAATTATCAGTGTTTTGTTTAGGAATCGAGTCCATTATACCTGAGAGAGGGTGTTGTTTACAACCAAAGAAACAGTAACAACAAAAAAGCTCTAAATTATATGACGTCCATTCTCCCAGGAATTACACAATAATAATTTCATAATCAATATGCCCAACTCGTTATGTTCTGTGAGCAGAAATACTTATGTAAGAAAGGTTAAAGCAATTACTTTGTTTATTTCCAGGCATTAAGATGTCTGTGATATTTTCATTTTTCAACCCTTCTGCCATGGAATATAAAGTGAACACAGAATTGGGTGCAGTCCTTGTACATGCACATTCTAGAGCAGTGGTTCTCAACCTGGGGTCCCCAGATGTTTTTGGCCTACAACTCCCAGAAATCCTAACAGCTGGTATACTAGCTGGGATTTCTGGGAGTTGTAGGCCAAAAACATCTGGGGACCCCAGGTTGAGAACCACTGTTCTAGAGTATAGTTAGAATCATAGAGTTGGAAGAGACCTTGTGGGCCATCCAGTCCAACCCTTGCCAAGAGCAGGAAAATTGCATTCAAAGCACCTCCAACAGATGGCCATCCATCTGTTTGAGTAAACAAAGAGTGATGTGAGTCAGAAAGTAGGAAATCTGTCTTTCAAAAGACGTATTAGTCCCTTGAAGAAATGGGGCAGAGTGTAAATAAAGTTTATTATGTGGTGTGGTGGAGGCTCCTTCTTTGGAGGCTTTTCAACAGAGGGTAGATGGCCATCTGTTGGGGGTGCTTTGAATGCAATTTTCCTGCTTCTTGGTAGGAGGTTGGACTGGATGGCCCACAAGGCCTCTTCCAACTCTATGATTCTATGATTCTATTATTATTATTTGACACATAACAAGATTAGTACACAGCAAAGAAGAACACTATGCTGGCTTTTGTATTATTATTGTTGTTGTTGTTGTTGTTGTTGTTAAGACACTACACTTGGAGGACTAGCATCCTAAGTAAGTAAAGTAAGTATTACTATTATTATTATTACAAATTTGGCTTCCCTCATTTTTCCTAAACATGCGAAAAGTATTAACACTTGCCATTCGAGCCTATGAACATATATGTTCAAACTGCTGTACCATAAAATGATCTCCACATATCCACTAAGATTCTTTCTGCCTCTTTTCCAAGAAATATATTAAACTAGAAACATTACTACTCATTCTGTACCCTTACACATAAACTTTTCAGATTGCTAGAAGGAAGCATTTGTTTGAGTTGTACAGGCACGCACCTGCAAGCGCATGCGTTTTCAACAACTCAAAGATTGTTTTACAGAACATCCCTGAAGATGACAGCAGTGACATGAAGATCACACGATTTCCTATATATATACATCCAGCATCAAAGCCTTCTTCCTACAACATAGTCTTCACCAAACCAGAAAGTTAACCTCACCTCCCACCAAGCCAGATGTACTAAGTCAGGCATTGGCAAACTTTGTCCCTCCTGATGTTTTGGACTTCAACTCCCACCATTCCTGAAAGCCTCAGGCCCCTTCCTTTCCCTCCTCAGCCTCTTAAGCCTGCCTTAGTATATATTAACTTGACATTAATATTGAAATACAGTAATTAAAAGCTTAAGCGGCTGAGGGGGGAAAGGAAGGGACCTGAGGCTGTTAGGAATTGTGGGAGTTGAAGTCCAAAACACCTGGAAGGACAAAGTTTGCACATGCCTACCTTAAAGTCTATATTGACTTGACATTCATATTGAAATACAGTAATTAAAAGCTTATGTGGCTGAGGGGGGGGGGCAGGAAAGGGTCTGAGGCTGTTAGGAATTGTGGGAGTTGAAGTCCAAAACACCTGGAGGGCCCATGCCTGCACTATGTGGTTGTTAATAGGGATTGAAGACAAATAGTTGGATGTCTCTTTAAGCTTTGTTATTTACCTTCTGACTCCCCCCCCCCCTCCCCAGGCAGAGTCTACTGCAGATCCTAAGTAGTTGCCAAAAAGACATTTGACATTGAGGCAGCGTAATGGATGAGCAGGATAAGCACCATCTGTACCCACCACTCTGTTTACCTGAGACAAAATATGCCAGAAGCAACAAAGGAAGACCACTACGAAATAAAAAGCATCTTTTCAGGTCCCTCCCCAACCGCACATACTGCACATTTTACCCTAATACAAGTTTGCATCACCAAAGAAGAAAACAGTGTACAAAGCCAACCAACTGGAAAAGGGAAATTATGTCATATTTGGTCTTCTCCGCATTCCTCCCCCAGTCAGAGAAGTTTCTCTCCCTCCTCCTTCCTCTAAGACTGTAGTAACTGACCATCTTCCAAGAAGGGAGGGAGTCAGCAGGGAGAGGCGGGACAGAGAGTGACAATAACAAACAAAGACTCCTCTCTGAGTTGTTATGAGTTTTCTTGGTTGTATGGCCATATTCCAGAAGCATTCTCTCCTGGCTTCATCTGCATCTATGGCAGGCATCCTCAGAGGTTGTGAGATCTGTTGGAAACTACAAAAAATGGGTTTATATTTAAAAAAAACTCTAAAATCATAATGGTAAATAAAGAAAATACTCAAAAACAGGGGAATTTCAAACAAGAAACAATCAGGGCCAGCTAATCACCTCCCAACAAAGGATTCCCCCGGGGCAGTAAGAAGCCAGACCTTGAAACTGCTAGGCCATTAAATGCTAATCAAGGTGGCCAATTGCAACATTCACCTCCACCTCAAACAGACAAGAGTTATTTCTTCCACCCTGATATATAAACTCCATTTTCCTAGTTTCCAACAGACCTCACAACCTCTGAGGATGCTTGCCATAGATGCAGGTGAAACGTCAGGAGAGAATGCTTCTGGAACATGGCCATACAGCCTGGGGAAAAAAACACAACAACCCTGTGATTCTGGCCATAGACAACACAAAGCCTCCTCTCCAAATCTCAGCTGAAGCCTCTCCTTTCTGCCAGGTATGAGGAAAAAAAGGGGAAACATACCCAAAGATGAAGAGAAGTAATGGGGATAGACCGTTGCAAAAAAAAAAAGTCAAGAAAAGCCACACCAACCTTGAGGATCCCAGTTCACTTGTTTCCTTGGTGTCTCGATTGGAAATTTCATCGCTTCCTTGGCCCAAGGAGGGGGAAGAGAGAGACTCAATGGGTTTCCAAGCTTTGCTTTCCTCCTGCCTGGATGCTGCAGCCAAACAAACACATTAATTTCGAAATGGGGAGGGGGGGAGAGGCTGCCCTTGGAGTGAGTCGAGACTAGAGGGGGAAATTGGGGGTTGCCTACAAAGGGACGAGGACCTGACAACAAGCCAAGGGAGGAAGGAGCTTGAGCCTTGGAGAGCCGAAGAAAGGACCAATGGAAGATCCCCAAGTGAGCTTTGGTACCACTAGGAAGAGGAGAGAACAACAGCCAGTTGGACAAAGGTGGGTAGGTAAGTCGGTGAGTGGGTGGGGAGCCTCTTCCTTTTTGTTGTCTATGTGCTCCAAGAGCTGCCTGGCAAGTCTTCCTGCGCCTTCTTTTTGCAGATGCGGCTCGGGCGGTGTTGGCTTGACCACTGCAGCATTACACACAGGGCTGGCGCACACGTGAATGCATCGTCCAGCCAGATGCAGACCAAGAGGATGGGGAGAGACTTCAGGTGGGGAGGGAGGGAGGGAGGGAGAGGGGCCAAAGGGGCTGATCCAACCAGGCGCTCAGTCAAGCCAAGAGGTGGTGCCAAGGCACCCGGAGGAGGCAGGCAACAAGCCCATCTCTGCTCCTCTTCCAGCCGGGCTCAGCGGGCAAAGCAGAAGAGACACCAGTGATGGAGAGGGTGGTGATGGAGATGGAGAAAAGTCATCCTCGGCGGGTTGGGGGGAGCTGCATCCGCGTGGCGTGTGGGAAGGTGGGGGCGAGCATCCCATCTGAATGCAGCAAGAGTGAGACAGAGGAGGGGGAGGCAGGGAAGCAGCCTCTCTCTTTCTCTCTCAGTCCCACCTCCAAGGCAGCCTTCGAGCAGCTGATGGGAAACTTCGGCGGGGGCACCTTGCTTTGGTTGGCACAGAGAAAGAAGGGAGGGGAGGGGGCGGGGGCTGCGAGGAAGAAAGGGGGGAGGTCTGTGGGCGGGGGGTGACGACATCGGGGAGCCGGGGCCGTGCTCAGGTTGCTCTGGGGCGGGGGCGGCGCGTAAGGCGGCTGGCTACTTGCAGGAGCCCTTCCTCGCCTGGAAGAGGAGGAGGAGGAGGAGGAGGAGGAGGAGGAGGAGGAGGAGGAGGAGGAGGGTGAAGGGGAGGAGGAGGCGATTGCATTGCAGTGTTGCGAGGGGGAGGTTTGCAGCAGAGACGCGCTTGGCTCAGTCGCAGCTGAGGACCCGGTTGGGTTGGGTTGGGGAGAGACGCAAGAGGGTCGGTGGGAGCCCTCCCTGAAGCAGTAGTAGAGACAATAACAAGAATAGAAAAACAATTTTCCTCCTCCTCCTCTTCATCATCTTCTAAAAGACCCAATGCACCTGGACCAAACCGAAAGACACAACAAAACAAAACAAAACAGAGTCAAGTAGATCCCCAAGACCAGTGTTTCTCAACCTGGGGTGGGTTGCATGGGAGTGTCATAAGGGTCTCCAAAGACCATCGGAAAACACAGTATTTTCTGTTGGTTATGGGGGTTCTGTGTGGGAAGTTTGGTCCACTTCTATCGTTGGTGGGGTTCCAAATGCACTTTGATTGTGTAGGTGAACTATAAATCCCAGCAACTACAACTCCATATGTCAAGGTCTATATTCCCCAAACTCCACCAGTGTTCACCTTTGGGCATACTGAGTATTCATGCCAGGTTTGGTTCAGATCCATCATTAGAGTCATAGAATCAAAGAGTTGGAAGAGACCTCCTGGGCCATCCAGTCCAACCCCCTGCCAAGAAGCAGGAATATTGCATTCAAATCACCCCTGACAGATGGCCATCCAGCCCCTGTTTAAAAGCTTCCAAGGAAGGAGCCTCCACCACCCTCCGGGGCAGAGAGTTCCACTGCTGAACGGCTCTCACAGTCAGGAAGTTCTTCCTCATGTTCAGATGGAATCTCCTCTCTTGTAGTTTGAAGCCATTGTTCCGCGTCCTAGTCTCCAGGGAAGCAGAAAACAAGCTTGCTCCCTCCTCCCTGTGGCTTCCTCTCACATATTTATACATGGCTATCATATCCCCACAGTGTTTGAGCCCACAGTGCTCTCTGGATGTAGGTGAACTACAACTCCAAAACTCAAGGCCAATGTCAACCAAATCTTTCCAGTATTTTCAGTGGGTCATGGCAGTTCTGTGTGCCAAGTTTGGTTCAATTCCATTGCTGGTGGAGTTCAGAGTGCTCTTTGAGTGTAGGTGAACTATAAATCCCAGCAACTACAATCCCCCCCCCCCCCCACAAACCCACCAGTATTCAAATTTGGGCATATTGGGTATTTGTGCCAAATTTGGTCCAGTGAAGGAAAATACATCCTGCATATCAGATATTTACATTACGATTCATAACAATAGCAAAATCACAGTTATGAAGTGGCAACACAAATAATGTTGTGGTGGGCGTCACCACAACACAAGGAACTGTATTAAGCGGTCACGGCATTAGGAAGATTGAGAACCACTGCCCAAGAAACTTCTATTGTGCTTCCTACTGAAGGTGCACATACAGTAGGCATGGGCAAACTTGAGCCCTCCAGATGTTTGGACTTCAACTCCCACAAGAATTGAGTTGACTTCCAAAACACCTGGAAGGCCCAAGTTTGCCCATGCCTGATATACACTCTAGAATTTAATAATGTTTCATACCACTCTGACTGCCATGGCTCAACCCAAACCAAGGCTAGAAGGTGCAAAGTTCCATTTGAAACGAGGGCCCTTTCCACACAGCGGAATAAAATCCCACATTATCTGCTTTGAACTACGATATATGGTGTGGTCTCAGACAGTGTGAGCTAAGGGCCCTTCCACACAGCCTCTTATCTCAGAATATCAGGACAGAAATGTCCCACAATATCTGCTTTGAACTGGGCTATCTGAGTCCACATTGCCATATATTCCAATTCAAAGCAGATAATGTGGGATTTTCGGCCTTGATATTCTGGGATATAGGGCTGTGTGGAAGGGTCCTCAGTTCAAAGCAGATATTGTGGGATTTTCGGCCTTGATATTCTAGGTTATATGACTGTGTGGTAGGGCCCTAAAATTAGCGTGTATTTTAGGACCCTTCCAAACAACCATATAACCAGAATATCAAAGCAGAAAATCTACAATATCTTATTTGAACTGGATTATCTGAGTCAACACTGCCATATAAACCAGTTCAAAGCATGTGGATTTTATACAGCTGTGAAATGCCCCTTCTACACAGCCAAATAATCCAGGTTATCAAATCAGAAAATCTACATCTGATTTGAACTGGATTATTTTAGTCTACACGTGCCATATAATCCAGTTCAATACAGATAATGTGGATTTAAAAGCTGTTTAGAAGGGGTCTTACACTGCAAAGGAAGACCTAACAAACACAGAGGCCATGAAACCCAGAATATCAAGGCAGAAAATCCCACAATATCTGCTTTGAACTGGGTTATCTGAGTCCACGCTCAGATAATGTGGGATTTTCTGCCATGATATTCTGGGATGTAGGGCTGTGTGGCATGCCCCTAGTTCAAAGCACATATTATGGGATTTTCTGACTCGATATTCTAGGTTATATGATTGTGTGGAAGGGCCCTGAGTCCACACTCAGATGATGTGGGATTTTCTGCCTTGATATTCTGGGATATAGGGATGTATGGAAGGGCCCTCAACCAAGTAAACCCACAAGCACAAGATGTTTACATAGCCCTTCCTTCTGCAGGTGCATCTACACTGTGTAATTAATAAACGTTTGACACCACTTTGGCTGCTATGGCTCCATGCTATGGAATCCTGGCAATAATAGTACCTAAACCAAAGGCTGGAAAGTGCAACACCTAGAATCAAGTTTAGGGTGCATCTACAAAAAGTCAAGTAAACCCCCAAACCAGACGCCAACCTTAAAACCCTTCCTACTCAAGGTGCATCTACAGTGTAAAATTAATAGAGTTTGACACCACTTAAACTGCTATGGCTCAATACTATGGGATCTGGTAACTATCATTTTATAAAGACAGTATTGTCGAAGGCTTTCATGGCTGGAATCACTGGATTGTTGTAGGTTTTTCGGGTTGTATGGCCATGCCCTAGAAGCATTCTCTCCTAACGTTTCACCTGCATCTGTGGCAAGCATCCTCAGAGGTTGTGAGGTTCATTGGAAACTATGGTGTAGATGCACCCTAAACTTTATAAAGACTTTAAGCCGCCTCTGCCAAAGAGTGCTGGAATCACATATACTGTGATTCCATAGTCCTGAGCCATAGCAGTGTACACTGTAATTCTACAGTGTAGATGCATACTTTAGAGCAGATCTATTGAAATTAAGGAGACATCAGTTATTCTTGATAAAGGCTGGATTGCCCTGAAGAAAAATAAGGGAAGGGAAGTTCCATAAACTTCCCTTCCCTGGAGTTTATGGAATCCAGGGAAGGGAAGGCACCACTGAAAAAAATGATTGCCAGATTGACCAAAGATAGATAGATAGATAGATAGATAGATAGATAGATAGATAGATAGACAGACAGACAGACAGACAGACAGACAGACAGACAGACAGACAGAAAAAGAGGGAGGTATGAGGGTGGGTCAAAAAGTTTTGCCTCCTGTCATAAAAACATTATGTATGAACATATAACAGTGGAAATTGTTACAGAACATAGCCTGAACTGTCCTCTGCGCAAAACTACCATTCAACATAATCACCATCAATTTTTACACATTTGTGCCATCATTTAACCCATGCATTTTGGAAAAAAATCTGGATTTTGCTTCCTGACCCACAATTTTAAAGCTGTTTTAACATCATTCAAGTGACAGAATCTGAAATCTCATTGGTTGTCTTGCAGAGATCCAAACAGATAATAGTTATGAAGGGCCAAATCACAAGCATTCTTCTAGTGATGATGATTTCCTTAGGTGCATGATGTTCTTTTGCCAGAAATTCAATGATGATTCTGTCTTTTAGCTTCAGATTCATGGTTATAATCAGTCAATCGGAAAAAGAAAAGCCTATATCAGTAGGGTAAGGTTCCCTCTATCATTATCAAGCATAGGTAGTCCAGTAGCTGTGAAAGAAATAAAAGTTAGAGCGATCGAGGCATTACTTTTTGACCCACCCTCATACATGTACATTAAGGACATTTTAAGAAGTCTGGTATCCTCAGCATAACCAGAGCAAGCTGCACCAGAGATGTTCAGCAATAAATGACTCACATGTCACATTTCCAGTTGAGACTGTAAGTGTGAATGGGACAACTAAGGGAAAGCACCATATGTTAAGGCTAGAAGGTCTATGCCTTTCTTGTTTTTCGAATCTGTATATAACACAGCGATGTGTAATGGTTTGACATTCGAACTACAACTCTGGAGACCAAGTTTGATTCCTTACTTGGCCATGGAAGCCCGTTGTTTTACTGTGGGTGAGTCACACACTCCCAGCCCCCAAAATCCCCTATAATAGAAACAGCTTGAAGGCATACAACAAATGCTAGGTAAGACCACAAAGAACTGCCTTGGAAATGGAAAGCATGAAGCGACCTGTTTTTTTGGGAAATGACAATATTTTGAATTACTTATTGTTCTGTCATGTATATTTTCCTAGCTCAATGAAGATTTCCATCAGCCTCCTAATACTTGTTTCTTGGCTGCTCAAAACCCCTCCCTCAATTTACATTTGCTACAGCTGTTGTTTGCTAATTTTGCCTCCTTCCTCCCACACAGGGTTTGACTTCTGGTCAAAGACAGGTTGGCACCAGAAGACTCCCCCCAAGGGAGGATCAGCTGGTACTGGAGGCGGCAGAGTCACAGCAATCTTGTATGCTTGAATACATTTGCGCAGACAGAGGGGAAAAAATGAGACAATTTGCAGGTCCTTTGAGACCAGTGTAGACTCTTAGCCCTGTG